GTGGAGCAGCCGGGCGTCCCGCCGAGCGGGCTGTGGTTTTTTAATAGGCATATCCCCCCCTCCGCCCCCAGCCCTGTCCCCTTCTTTTGTGCTTTGCTATAAGAGTAAAGCAGAAAGATCCTAGGTAGCAGAAGGGTTACCCTCCTCCTCCTCCTCCTCCTTCCCACCCCTTAAGGGGCGGTGATAGTGGTGGAGAGGAAGAAAAGGATGCCACGGAAGCTGTTGTTGCCTTATAAATCTGTTTTTTCTCACTTTCGAGCTCCGAGGGGTTTGCATGATTCCTCGGCAATGAACGCAGCCAGAAGTGGCTACCGGGTCTTCTCGGCAAACTCCACGGCGGCCTGCACCGAACTGGCAAAGAGGATCACGGAGTAAGTTCCTCCTCTCCCAAGTTTCTTTTTCCGTGAGTACCCCTCTTTGTAGGGACGCTGGTTTCAAAGTGGCTCACAAGGATTTTAACGTCCTCCCGTGTCCCCGCGCCAAAGGCATCCGACGGATGTAACTGCTGCAAACGCCTTTGCTGTGGAGGTTTTAAACTGGGAGCATTTAGCAGCTCTGTCTTTCTGCTACTCGGTGCCGGCTGACCTCTCCTGCTAGCTCCTTAGGATTTAGTGATAAAAATGAACCAGCTGTTTTCTCTTGTCTTGTGTCTTTTACACCAATTTCTGTGCTGGAAAGGCTGGATTGCCGCTGAAGGCTGTTGCCGCTTGGAAGGTGAAACTTGTCTAAACATTCAGAGAGCGTTTACTTGGTTTGGGAGATGCTCAAAACTTTCTCTGCTGCTTTTTGTGGCAAAGTATTTGTAACTTTGTTTGTCTGACAGCCTCATTGCTTGGAGCATGGGGAGCGTTGCACGTTCAAACCTGGGTGCAAAAGTGGATTACCTAATCTTTGTTTAGGTGTGGTAGAACAGGTGGGCAGCCTATGCTAACAAAAGACAGTTTAATTTAGGAACAAAAGCGTCCCTCTTTTGTCAGCTCATCAATTTGGGCAGAATGTGACCTTGACTCGGCAGGGATGGACACGTTAGGTCCTGTTGAATGAGGTATGTAACAGTTGGCTCCAAAACGTGGCTCCCGTTTTTTAGTGCACAGAGCAATGATGGGTTTTTCCTCCCCCTTGATCCTTTGTTTTGCATTAGTTTAGTTCAAATCAGGGCAAACAGCAAGTGGGCGCTCACAGCTGAAGGGGCTTTTTAAAGAAACAGGCATCTGTTTACTGTTGAGCCAGGGAAGCTGTCATCCTGAGGCTGGCTTTGGGTTTCCTTTCTGCTTCCTCTTGGCTACAGTGCCTAGGAAGCTGCTCCCAAAATCAGGGGTCCTCGGAGCCTGGTTGTCTGCCATGGCTAGTAGCATCCTTGGTACCGCCTAGAGGCAGCTGTCCACCCAGTCTCGTCGCCAAGGGAACGTTTAAATTGGAAACAAACGGGAACCAAAAATAGGTGTACTGCATTCTTAAACTGCAAGAATGTTTTGATATTCATCTGACTAGCTTAATAAACAGTGCGTTCACGCCTTCGCACAGATAATCTCCCTGAAGCTGACTGTGCTGTTTGTCTGGGATCACTGGTGTTGATGGGACAGATGCAGGATAACAGTGATGAGCTGAGCCTCCTTTGGATGAGAGGTGGGGAGGGAAGTCTTTGTATTTGAGAGTGGAAAGGGCTACTTTGTGGAGTTTTTTGCTCTATTTAGTCAATTCCATATCACTTCGCCTTCACTGGTGCAACTCTGAAAATAAACTCTACTTAAAAGAAAAAAAAAAAGTTCTACTGCAACAGATGGGGTGTGCTTTCCCTAAGGCTTGTCCTGTTGCGTCAACATGGAATATAGCAGAACCCTCCTGGGAATGAGGGGACAAGTTCCAAGTTCTCAGGACTGGAAGAGTAAACAGCCATTCTTTATTCTCTGCCCTTTGTCTTAAAAAAATAATTGACCGTCTTTTAAAGACGTAGTGAGGAGAGACATGGAGCAGGCTTCCAGAGGTTGTGGCACGCAGCTGGGCTATGTAACATGCTCTGTTTATGTTCGCTTTTCTCCATGGAGTGGTGATAGATGTGAGGTTTTAAAAATGTTTGTAATTTTTTTCCTGCATAGGGGAGCACAGGTATCCCCAAACGTGATAAAGGGCTATAAGCTGGTCTGGGGTTTCCAGTGATGCTCTGAGGAGAAATGACAGCAGAACTGTGAGAGTGACGTCCTGGCTGTCCTTCGCAAAATAAACTTTTAAAAGAGGCGATTTAGTCTTTTTGCCTTGGCTGTAACATCTGTAGGGAAGTTGGGTGCTTGAGTAGTGCTCTTAGCACAGTAATGTAATTCATACCTACTACTTAAAGTAAAACTTAAACGCGCATAGCTTCCCCGTCTGTAAAATGGGAATAGTGACCACTTTGAAATGGGAAGTTGTAGAGCGTTATATGCAGATGGGGTTCTGTGGGAGCGGGGTGCAAGATCTGGAACTATTGATAATACAGATTTCTCCGAAGTGAAAAGTCCCAAAGGCTTCTTGTGTTATGGTTTTGTAGTGACTTCCCCTCAGAGCTCAGGGGCTGTTACAACACGTCTGTAATACATCCCTTGTTTTTTCAGGCAAAAGATGCGTGACTGCTGGCTATCCCACTGTGTCACATCCCAGCATGTACTTTGCTGGGGAGGTCAGTTACACCTTAAAATAGAGGTGGAGCAGTTTTACAAGGGTGAGTCTGTCGTCTAATATTGTGCGTTTTTTTTAAAGTTTTTTTATGACCTTTAGCGTAAGCAGTAAAAGAACTTTAAAACAACACGCAATATTAGGAGTAGGGCCCTTTGAGACGCTGCCTCCGTCCAGGCTCTGTTACTGTTTGCCTGTAGGTATGAGGCTAGTGGAGCTGGCTGTCCTGCTGGACTATATGAACAGGAAGTCAAGGGTTGAAGGTGGCTTATTTTAGTGGCAGTGGTGCAAAGGGGTCCGGGACAGAGTGGGGAAAGTGGAGAGTCTGTGTGCTGCAACCATTATAAGAAAGGTAAGCGAACCCCAGAAATACCCCAGAAATAATCCATTTGGGAATGCTCTGAAGATCCCCTTTTTTGAGTTAAAATCAGTACTTGAGTCCTCCTGTTTATTTAAAAAAAAAAAAAAGAAAAAGATAAATCTCGACGCTGGGGAGGAGCAATCTGAACAGCTTTCAGATGTCTGCTTTATGTCAATCTCCTTGCTTCATTTAATGCAAAACTTCCAGATTTGCTTTTGATTCAGCCTCTGAACACGGCATTCTGGCCCACTTCCGATCCTTACAGTTTCCTATTATGCATACTTCTCTGGTTATAGGATGAGTGACTAAATGGTCGATCCAACTTTTATTTTAAATTTTCAGAGCTTTTGTTTATGTTAGCTTCTGCCAGGGAGAGGAGATAGTTCTCATTTATGAGAACCAAATATGTTGAAACTCCTAAATAATAAAGATGCTTAGATTCAGGAACATTGAAAAATAAATAAAACCCTATGTTCACTTGTAAATTGAGTGGGATTTTTTTTTTTTTAATAAGTCTTTCCCAGATGGAAAGAAAACCTCCACTGTAATTAGGACACTTGGCACCTGGTTACAAGCTGCTTTTGCAAGGGAGAAAGATAATTTCTGTGACCAGAGGTGATCCCTAATGGGCCCTGTGTGCTGGTGGGGGGAGGAAGGAAGTCTAGCAAGGCTTTCTAATCTCCCGAGTTGGACAGATGCGTTTAGATCTCCTCCCTCTGAACGCAGTGTTTGACACAGAGGGTACAAATGTTACATTCCGCTCTCTGCTTGTGTTCTGGGTTGGAGGGGTTTGTTGATTGAAGCGTGCTCATGCCTCCCCAGTGCTCCTGCAGGTCTGCGTTATCTGGAACGTGACGTTACCCTGAACTCATTGCAAAGCGTGGATGTGAGTGTTCTAAACGTTCTTTTGATTTGCAGCATGGAAAATGGTGGTGATCTTAAGATGAAAGGAATGCTGTGAGCCTAAGCAATGTGGAGTAATAAGGAAAAGATGGAGATTTCCTATTCTGATCTTTGATCATATAGAGCCCTGTAAACAATGCTGTAAAACTGAGGCAGTGCTTTCTGTGTCTGAGCTGAAGGTGAGTTCCGCTTTTGGAGGAGATAGTATTTTAGGAGGACTCATAGCAACTTTCTCTAGCTGAAGGAAGGAGCATTTCTGATGGGATGCAGGAAAAGCAATGTCAGCCGTCCTTGTTAGGTCATCTCGGCAAGCAACGGAGCACAAGAGAGTAACCTGGTCTTACTGTTCTCTCCTGTCTGCACATCCTGTTCTGCCTTCGGAAAGGAGCGCTAGCTGTCCTGGAAGGACAGGAGATAGCAACAACTGATTTCCATCACAGAACATGAAGCGCTGTGGCAAGAAGCTAACAGATTTTACAGGGTGAAACTGCCTCAAGTTTTTTGGCAGAAGGAAATGAGCAACCAACTACAAAATAGTAGAGTTGGAGAAGGGTACAGAAGGAGCACAATGCTGGAGGAGGGGCACTGGAGAACGTGGAGCAGTTGGACTTTGAAATATGCTGCGAGTTTCTCTGTGCAGCTTAGATGGAGCAGCTAATGTGACTGAGCAAATTTGTTTTGCGTGATAGGTTTTATGCTGGCCATTGTCAGATTTAGGGTAAGTTCCTTCATGAGCAGCAGACTGGTAAGAGTAGAGGAAAATCTGTGCAGTGCTTGCCAGGGATTTGGCTGCATAGCTTTTGTAATGACTGGAACAAGTGATGCAAGTGCTAAATGGCTCTGGAGGGAAGTCACAGATGAGAAGCAAGGACCATTCTTCAAGTATCCAGTCGTGTCGGGGAGAAGGAGTGAAGCTAAAATTTTAGTGGGTCTGAAATGATTATAACGATATCTGACCGGATTGCCTTGTATGCCGAAAGCCTTCTGTTTCCTTTTCCTTTCCGGATCTGTTCCTGAATTGGGCGATTAGGAAGTACGCTGTAGAGTTGCCACAATGCTGGCTGCGGCCTTTATTTAAAGGCTTACTTGAGTGTGAGGAAAGCAACGCAGACTCAGGCTGTAGCTTTCTTTGCCCTCTGCCGGCCGAGGCCAAGCACAGAGCAGATCCTGTTGCGTTAGCTCCAGCACCGTCTAGAGTCCGCAGAGATCCAGCAAGTCCGTAGGTGTGGGGGGACTAGGCTGTTTGCAAAGCCGAGACTGGTGCAAGTGTTTGTAATGAAGGGGTTAATGCCAGAACAGAATCATATCATAGCTGAGGGCTTCATCTGGATACAGCATTCTCTGTTCGTATTGAACGTGTGCGCTGTGATCTGGCTGTAAGTTTCATTCAGAGATAATTTTACGAATGTTTTTAAGGTCAGAGAGTAGGAGAGGGCAATGCAGCACAGGCTGAGAGAC